GACCCCAGAGTGCTTCTAGGGTCTGATCTCAAAGGCAGGGCCCCAGCCCCAACCCTTCAAAGTTCTGTCTGGCAGGCTCACTACCCAAATCCCTGGTTCCCACCGTCTTTCCCTCCCCCAGGGACTCCCCTCCCCCAGTCCAGCAGCCTCAGGGCTGGGCAGGGGCTATTTTTAGCCTGGGCACTGAGCTAATTTTAACTCACCGACAGGGGACCTAGGGGCGGGCTGTCGGGCTGTGGGGGCGGGCAGTCCAGGAAAGCTGGGCCTGGGGCAGGGGGTGGTCTCAGGCCCCAGGCACCCTGGAAACTCAAGTGGGGGGCAGGCCCTGCAGCCTCAGCTTCAGGGACAGGAACTGACTTGTCAGGGGGAGCACCCGGTATGGAGAGCAGGGCTGAGCCCTCTCCGCAGCTTCCGCTGGACAACTCTCCGGCGCCCCACCCTAGGCTTCCCGCCCTCTTCTCCCTGGCAAGTCTCCTGGGATGGGGTCATCCTGTTCTCTGCCCAGGAGATGCCTCTCCGGTGAGGGTCTGTCTCCTGAGCCTCCTCATGTCTTCCCCACCCCAGCTTGTCCTTCCTGTAGTCTAGCTGTCATCCTTCCTGTAGCAGCTGTGAGGCTGTTTGGCTCCCTAAAAGGCAGCAGCCTGTCCCCCAGGGTCCAGCACTTCCCACTCTAGCTCTGACCTTCCCCTTATGGCCTCTGGGCTGGCTCCTAGGTAACCACCCCCTACAAGTTCCTAGAGCTACCCAGACTGATCTCAGGAAGTATCAGGGGGCAACGTGAGATTGAGTCCCAGTAGAGAAGGAATGGGTGAGGTAGGGCAATGAATAGCTTAGGGAAACATGGGGACTCTGAGCTGGGATTGTAGATACCTGGGTTCTAGTCCCTGCTCTGGTCTAAGGTGTAATCTGAGTAAGTCACTGCCTTCTACAGGCTTCACCCCACTGGCCAGTATTATAAGTAGCTGGTGGACTAAGTACCCAGATGCCCTTCTGGCCCAAACACACAGCTCTTAAGCTCTCTGGGGAGGCCCAAAGGGAAGGGAGGTCAGAATTGTGTAACTCATGGAGAGGAACTAAAGAGATGGCCTGGCTGGGCAACTAGGGAGCTAGAAGAGAGTCAGGATGGAGCTGGTGAAGCGGTGGGTGCCTTCTAAACAGATGGCCCAGGGCTGACAAAGGCTGTGGTCAGCCAGAACAAGTCCCAAGTGGGGCACACAAGGCCCTCGTGGCAGAGGCTCAGCCATCCCAATCCCCTCACACAGGAATGCCCATCAGACCCACCTCCTGCTTGTGGTTACTGAGCAGCGACTACCCCAAGGTCACTGTTACGGTCACTGGTGGGACCAGTTCTAGAACCCAAGCCTAAGGCTGGCTTCATACTCCATCCCAGCAGGCCGAGCAGCAGTGACTCACCACTGCTCATTTGCATGAGATTTGCATAGTGTCTCTGATCTTATTCCTTCAGGCTCAAATTCTCATTCCAGGACCTGGGTCACCCTTACCCAGGATCCCTAGGCACCTGTGGACACCAAGTGGAGTTCTTGACACCTCAGGCCTTTGCTCCCATCTTTCCCCTCCAGAAAGCATTTCTGAATTTATAAATACCCCCAGTGATACAGTCTAGAACTCTCAGTCCAACTGGGTCCCCTACTCTTGTCTAGGCGGGGACGGGGGAGGGGTGTGAAATCACGAGGAATAAGCAAGCATGGCAGCTACAGGAGTTTGGTAAGATTCACAGGGTGAAGTGTGGCTCTGCCACTGCCTTAGAGTGTCGCAGGAGAAGAATTCCACTTCCTTCTTTAGTGCCAAGGTCGGGGCAGCAGCAGAAGGATGGAGGTGAGCTGTCCTTTACTTCCATTTCTGTCTCCATTTCCAAAACCCATCCGCAGTGCAGGATGGGAGGAGATGGCCCAGGACAGCAGGTAGGATAGATACTACAGAAAGAACTCCTCAGGGCTGAGTCCTTGGACTCAAAGTAATCTCTGGGGCTCAAGCTTGCTTTGTCAGAAGCCCCCCAACCAAGCATGCGAGGCTAGTGACACGTGGGAGGGCATGGAGGCCCCAGCATTGTACCTCAACCAATGGGAGCTGTGGACAACCAGTTTCCCACCTACCTTTAAGTCTGACCTACATTTGTCCAGAGTATCTACACCTCTCCCACAGCCTCTGGAACAATGAAGCCCAGCAGTGGTCTCCAGTCCTGGGAAGTCCTTCCTGCTACCTAACTGCCATCCCTCCCACTGCCTCCAGTCTTTCCACTGTTACCTAACCCATTTGGGTCATCTAAACGAGAGCAGTGGATGGGGGCCCCTGGGCATCAGAAGCCCTGGCTGAGGAGAAGTGGGGGCAGTTGGGACGGTTAGTGTGTCACCTTCCACCTCCCCAACCCAACTTCCCTCTGGGGTCTCAGGAGACAGAAGTGAAAGTGGCAGCTGGGGCCTTGGGGGCGGGTAGGCTTGAGAGCCGTTGGAATGAGCACAATGCCGCCAGTGCTGGGTCTGGGCTGCCTGCCATTGCAGCGGGCAGGCTCATGGTTAGATCAGGGGAGGGACTTCCCATGGAAATAAGGGCATGGAGTAATGAGGAGTGTGGGCCCCTGGCCAAAGGAAGAGGAGGCTGAAGGGAAAAAAAAATGGAAAGGCAGGCAGCAGACAGTCTCAGAAGGGCATTTTCTTCCAGGGCAGCGTTCATTTCCTTGTGTAAAGCAGCAAGATCCCTTCTTCTCACCCACAGAACTAAGACAGGGCTGCTCTGGCTGAAGCAGATTCTGAAGGGGGTCTGAGCCCTGACTGCTGGGACATGAGAACAAAGAAAGGGGAGAGAACCCAAGGCCTGGGCCCTCAGCCTGGACAGCACCAATTATGAGGAAAGGGGAGGTGGAGAACATGAAGGCTTCACCTACAATGATGACAGGGGACCCGAAAGAGGCCAATCCAATCAGGGAAAGCAAATCCTCCTAGAGACATCATGACCTCGAGAAGCCACCGAGGATTTAAAGGGGCCGCTCAGGGCAATGGCTGGGTCTCCTTCTAACTCAAAGGACAGTCCTCTAAGCCCCTGGCAGCAGAGGGAGGGCGGGCATCATGGCTGCGTGGGCCTGCTGAGGCGGCCAGCCAGGCAGCTCTTACAGGATTAGCTTGTTGCTTTCAGGAAAGGTGCCAGGTGAGGCTAAGATGCCCAGCCAGATGGAGGGGTTGCCCAGAGGGAACGGGGTGGGGACAGCAGTACCTGCACAAGGCTACGCAAATACATGTCCCCAAATCCATGCCCCTTACCAATATCTGGCGTTTCACCCTTTCATGAGGATGCTGTGCAGGGACCCCTCAGATTTTTGCCAGCAAGGACCTCCACCTACCAAGTTTTCCCTGTCGTTACTATGGTCTGGAGCTATTCTGTGGGGAAGTCCTGCCTGTTGTCTACTCTTGACCCCCTTGCTATACTTAACAACCAGGGACCCACCCCTTGGAACAGGTGAGGGGCTGAGTGGTTCCCTTATCTCCCCTCCCCCTTAGCTCCCCACCCCCAGGCTGACAGGTGGGGGAGACAAGAGGGAGCAGCTGGGCCAGGACACCTGTCCCCACCCAGCCATCATGGGCCCCAGAGGCCTGCATAAGGAGACTCAGCATAGGAGGAGGCAGTGGTGGCAGCTGGAGGAAAGGGGCCTAGAGCTTAAGGAGAGAGGTTGACAGGAAGGTCTGACTCGCTTCCAGATCATCTCATCCTTCTGGTCTACCCCCAACCAACAGCCCTCACCAAACACACAATACATGCATGCTCTAAAGGGAAAATTTCAAGGTTTGAGGTCATCCCTCAAACCCCTTGCTCCATTCCCTTGCCTCCACGTTACTTGAACTAGAGTGGGAAGACCCCAGGAAGAGACCAAGCCCTGCTCTCCCCACTCCACCCTCCCGCCACGCATTTCTGCTTGAAGCTCAGGGATGGGCTCTCTTGTATTCTTTGTTCTCTCAACCCTCAACCCTAGGTATTTGCTGGTGGGTTGAGGATGAGAGAATCACGAGGGGTAAGCAAGCATGCAGCCAGAGGGATCTGGCAACACTCGTGGGGCTAAGTGTGGAGGAGGCAGGTTCTGAGACAAGGAGACGGCTGCACGGGGAGGGCAGGGCTGGGCCCAGCTTCCCAACCCATCCCAGGGCCAAACAGAGCCCTAGGCCAGGAGGAACCCTCCAGGCCTCTCAATCCCTACCCCGGACACCAAAGGCATTGCTTGCCCCCACCCCAGTTTCTGAGTAGCTGCCTCAGCAGGCAAGTCCTGGGCCAGGCTGGGGCTAAAGGTCTGAGAAAAAAGATGCAACCATCACACTTTTCCCGACGGAATCTCCTTCCTTTCCCATGTGAGGCAGGTAGTATCACCTCCTTTTCACAGATATGGAAACTCACAGAGATGGACAGGGACTTGCTCAAGGTCACCAGAAATAAGGGGCAGAGAAAGACTGACTGTCAGGCACAGGGCTTCAGCTCATGACCTGGATGGGAGTGGGAGGGGGTCTCCCTCCACCTGGGAATTCTAGCACATTCCTTCCAGGGCCAACTCCCCAGCTCTGGGCCTGTGAGGCTAACATTGGCCTTGTGTCTGCCTTGAGACAAGCCCCAGCCTCTTGTGCTCCAAGTCCTCCCACTGTACCACCTCTCCTCATTCATCTCATGTGGCAGCTCACAGGGATACGAGGAGGGGTCTCTGAGTGTCATTTGTTCCTGCCCTCACACCCTTGCTTTGAGGGGCCTTCTCCATGACACTCAAGTCAAAGCAATACCCCCTCACCTTGCCACCATACCCTGATTCTCTGCCCTCAGCGGAGAAATCCTAGTTTTCTCTTCCCTTCAGTTTCTCCTCCTTCTCTCAGGTCTCTTTGGACCTCCTTTCCATTGCCTCATCCTGCAGGGCGGGATCTCTCCTTTAACCTCAGACAAAAGCCCTTTATACCTCATAACTACGAAAGCTTAAATAAGTCACTTAAATCTCCGAGACTCAGTTTCCCAATTCTAAAAAACAGTTGTAGAGAGAAACAGTCTTCTTACGTTCCCATGCTCAGCACAAAGTTTGGCACACAGGAACGTAAGAAATGGAAGTTGCCTTCCTCCCCTTTGAGAACCTGTCACCTCTCTCCACTGGGATCTCAAAAGTTTTGGTTTCTGGGTGGGGCAAGGTAGCTCACACCTGGAGTCCCAGCTACCTGGAAGGCTACGGCAGGAGGATCACTTGAATGGGAGGCTGCAGTGAGCCACAATGGCATCACTGCACTGTAGCCTGGGCAATAGAGCAAGATCCTGCCTCAAAAAAAATACAAATAAAAAAGCTTTGGTTTTTGGCCTACGAAGTATACTGGAAACTTGGGCAAGTCGGGTAATGCTGAGGGTAAAGCTCCCTCGATCAGGGGGCAAACAAAAAAAGAGCTCCCTCTATATGGTTTCCTGATCTGCCCAACTCCTAGGAGAGTGGCCAGAGCACCCAGCCAGAGGCACCAAGCCAAGGTCAGTGACCAGGCCTAGAGCCCAGAGCCTCCTGGGAGGGCAAGTTTAAATGAGTAAATATGGTCCCGCCTGGGTGTGGCCAGCCACAGGCCAGAGCTTTGGACATGTCCCTCCCCTCCTAGCCTACAGCAGAAAGAAGAGAAGTCAGACAGGCACAAGCACCTCCCGCCCCCTTGGCTATCAGGGTCCTGTGCAGAATCAATGAATGCATTCCCCTGTCTCCATGCTAGCCAGGACTAACCAGAAGCACGACTTGGCTCTCAGAAAAGAGAGGCTTGTAGTCTCAGCCTCAGAAAAAGGAAAATATCAGATGAAGAGGACCCTGGGGATCACCTAGGCCAAGGATCTACCCCCAAATGCCTGAGGGCTTAGATGCAGCCTTGATGCCTGAGTGGCCTTGCTCATCAGGGTGAGTGGGGAGGGCAACAGAGACCAGGGACAAACCACCAAAACACCCAGGTGTTAATCACCGAAAGTCGAAACTCTGTACATTGAAAAGCTGGGGCCCGAGAGGAGTGACTTACCCCGGGACATACGGACAGTGTGAGGGGCAGAGGCAGGCTGTGCCAGGACCACAGAGAGGGGCACGTGTGGGAGGGGAAAGGGGCAGGGATGGAAGTCAGCCAAGGCTCCTGACTCACAAGCCATGCTCTTTATTTTGCAGACAGGGCTCTGCCTGCCCATCTGTGGTCTAACCTTAATCCCTCCTGCTCTAGTCAGCCCTCCTCTCTTCAAAGTTCTTGCTATGCCCTTCGCCTTCTTGCCTCCGGTCCCCTCAACCCCATCCCAACTCTCCAATCCTTTAATCATCTTTGCCATTCACTACCCCCCCACCTCCCGCAGTGCAGCAGCTGCTCTGTGGGTGTCTACACACCCGTGTGTATGCGCTGCACACCTTCTTGCATGTGTACCACTAAATGCTGTGGACCTGCCAAGTGCATTGGGCATGCCTGTCTACACAGGACCCCATCTAGCTCCCACTACTGGGGAAAGGAGCCTAAAGGCTAGCTCTCCCACAGCTCCAGGGCAAATGCCTCAGAATACTGTCAGCCCCAGGCAGGGAGAGGAAAAAGAAAATAAATATTCCAGGATCCAAATAGCACTGACCCTACTAGGCCAAAGGTCAAGGCCTTTTGGGAGAGCCACTGGAAAAGAAAGTGCTTTGAGTCCCCCTCCTTTCCTATGCCAAATTAGAGCCATTTCTCTTTCCCCACAATTTCCCCACTGGGAAGTTCTTCCTGAAGTCTAAGCGCCATCCTACCCACCGTGATCATGGATAGACAGAGCGACATCAACCATAATATAGTCAGACATCCAGCTTCTAGAGCACAGCTTCTAGTACCTAACCGCCCCTCCTCCCATGAGTAAGTCACCAAACTGGGACAGAAGGACAGACAGTTGGCCGGACTCTGGCCCCATGACTGGCTCATAAAGCCACCAGCGATTATAGTGATGCTGAGGCTGTGCCGGCCTGCCACCATCTCCTCCTTCCCCATAAAAAAAAGATAGTTGCCTCAAACCAGCTGGCCTGAGAGAGCTTCAAGAGTCCCAGCCATGGTTCCGCGAGATGGGGAGAATCCGACCATCACAGTGCCATAAGACTCAGAACCTGACCCTTGATGGATTCGAGGCTCATATCAGATCCTCATACTCACTTATAGAACCTGGATGAACACCAACAATGACCTGTGTCCAAGAGGCCAAGGCTTATATTACCTATGCCCCCTCAAGTCCTCTTTTCTAGTAAGGCCACCATCCTTTGGACTAGAGGGGCAAAGAAGCAGGGGGCCTGGCTTAAATACAACTAGGGAAATGCTGGACCCACCCATTTGCTCCTGGACTTCCTTGTCCCCATAGAAGTATTCAGGTGAGTGGCAAAATGTCCAACAAGGGCCCACACCAGGCCAGGGTAAGCACTGAGACTCGGTATCCAGTGCCAACCAGGGAGGGCAGGGGGCCCAGCTGGCCAGGAAGAGAAGGTTGACAAAATGGGCAGAGGTCCAGGCCTCTCTGGGGGCATAAAAACCAGGGACACCCACAGCAGAGGCACCTTCTGAGGGCACAGTCAGAAGAGGAGGGTAGGAAGGGTTGGGCCATAATCAATGAGGGCCTATCCCCAAGGCCTCAGGGGCCAAGGCACCCCCCACCCCAAGCTTCCTTGCTACTGATCCTTTAGCCCCTCAACCTGAGGAGTTTCCTTCTGCCTTCTCTTCCCCATCACATCTCCCAGGAAAGACCCAGGGAAGATTTTAAAAAAAAGAAAAAAAAAAAAAAAAAAAACCCTGCTACAGAGAGATTATATAACAACAGCCAGAAAGACTATCATATCTCCCAGCCTATGAGAACAACCAGGAGCCAAGTGGGCAGAGCCAGGATGCCCAGGCCCTCCAGCCCAGGGGCACCAAGCACAGAGTGGGTGGACATGGACAGCACCTGCCACCCTTCCAAATCCTCCACCACTCTCAGGCACTGAGTACAGCAGACAGAAGCTCTAGCCAATCCCCCACGCCCAACCCCCAACACAAGGATCATGATGCTCTCTGGGTCCTGCTTCTCCCCCTGGACTGGGGCTTCCATGAACAGGGACTGTATGTCTCCCTTCCTAGAATCTCCCCCCCGCTATGAAGTTATGCCTGAAAGAATGGAAACATGAAAGCTCTGACACAGATTTGCTGTGTGATCTCAGGTAAAAAACTCAACCTCTTTGGTCCCTACAGGAGTAAAAGCTCCTCCCTTCCACCCAGAGAGACCAGAGACCCCTCCCTTTACAAATGTACATGCACACACATACATATACACACATATGCAAACATACAGGCTGTGCTGGTGGGGGCAGGGGAGTTACAACAAAGAGAATATAATCACTGAGACCCAAGGGCCCAAATGCCTATGCTGGGGCAAGTGGGGAAGGAGCTCCCTATAAGCTCCAGTGTCCCCCAATCACCCCATATAAATAGGTTCTCAGCCACTCCCACAATGGTCCCACCCCACCCCCATCTCCTGCCCAACACACTGGGAAACCACAGGAAGGAAATTCATTCCCAGGCAGGGCCGTGGGAGCTGGGACAGCCAGACTAAGTCCTGGGGCGGGTGTGACCCCGCGGCCACAAGCGGGTGGACATCTGTGAACACTGACATGTGCCTTTTCAATGCTCTCCTCTGCTACTGAGACCTTCCTGTTGGGGCTGGGAGAGGAGTGGGAGGTGGACAGCTCCCGAACGCCAAAACACCCAATCTCTGGCTGACCTGCGCTCCCCTCCTATCTCCAGGCCAGAGCAGCCCAAGGTCACCGTCCCAGACGGCAAACTTCCCATAGTCTAGGCTGGACCCTGAATTGCTGCGGAGACCCACTCAAGGGATAGGAGGAAGAGTGGATAAGGGCCACCCCCACCCTAAAGCAAAGAAACCAGGCCTCTGAGGAAAACTCAAATGGGGGTTGGCACAGCAAAGAGGGACACAGTATCCCCCTCACCTGCTATACCCTCCCCCAACCCATCAACAATGCACCAAGTAAGGGGAGGCAGAGGAGGCTCCCACTCAGAAGGGCAAACCTGGAATAACTCGGTCGGTGGCTCCTAGAGTGCTTTCCTTTCAGGGGGAGCCCTCAGAAGACTGCTGAGAGGACAGCGTGATTCACTTGGGGGAGGGGGCCCCTTTCCCCCATCCCCCTAAGACCCTAACCTGGTAGAAGAGAGGCTGGCATTGGAGTGGAGGACTAAATGAATCTTGGTCTCCTTTGCCCAGCCTCCCAAAAGCCCCCCAAAACTCCCTGGACCACCGCTCGGAGCCCAGCTCCGCCTGCCATAGGTGGAGAGAGGGACTACAGAACTCTTGCCCAGATGTTGAACAGCTGCAAACTTCTGGCCAGGGAGTTCCCCAGCTGGGGTTGCTGACAAACCACATCAGGGGTCTCCGAATCGGGGCTAGGAGGTCCCAAAGAAGGGTCCTGCGTGCCCACCTCGTGGCGACTCCGCGTCCCAACTCCACAGGCACCCGGCAAACACGGGCCCCGGAGACACACACACTCACACACCCCAACCCACCACCCCGGTGTCATCTGAACAACATCCCCCCTCCCTCCCCCGCTTCCCAAACAGCTGCGGCTCCCCCCGCCTCCACCCTCCCGCCGCCCTCCCAGGCCCCCTTCTGCACCATTTCGGGCCAAGGAGGAGGGAACAGGCGGCGAGAGCAGGGAGAGGGAGGGAGGGCCGGCTGTTAAAATGTCAGTCGCTCCCGGCTGTCACCGGAGACCCCCTCTGAGGATGGCGCCCCGTCCCAGACCACTCGGAGGCCGTCGTAACCCCCCTACACGGACAGGCGGGCGCGCCCCCAATCCGCCCGTCCCCACCCCGTACTCCCAACACCCAAAGGAATTGCAGCCCACTCCACTTGTCCCCCACGGCCGACTCCCTGACACAAACAATCCCCTAGGTAATCCCCGCCAACGCCACACGAAAACACGGCCCGCTCCGCGAGTTCCTCCCGGCCGGGGGGGCTGCCCCATCCCACCCCTCAGGGGGACGGTCTAGACCACCCTCCACCCCAACCCCTGGACCGGGTGGGGGAGGGGGCCTCTTAAAGTGGCAGGCGCGTTATTTTTCTCTACTCACCAGCCCGGCTGGGGGAAAGGGGTTGTCACGGCAAAGAGCAGGCAGCCCTCGCCCCTGGTCCGGGGATCTTCAACACCGGGAAGCCGCAGCTCCGGGCGGGGGGAATGATAATGAGGCCGGCGTCCGCGCGGGCCCTGGGCGGCGCCGGGGGGCCTGGGCCCCCGTCGTGGGCGCGGGGGCCAGCAGCGGGCGGCTGGCAAGCGGGGAACCGGGGCCGAGCGCCCGAACCGCCTCGGCTGTTGTTGATATTTTGCTTCCTTCCTCCTTTCGGGCTCCAAAGGTAACTCCTCCAGCCCCCGGGAGTCGAGGCCGACGTAGGCACAGCTCAGCCTAGCTTGAGGGGTGGGGGAAACGGGGTGACGGACAGGTGGGGGGGCCAATGGGAGGCACCCGTGGGGGTGGCGGGGCGGAGCCGGGGCTGGGGCGGTCCCGAGGACGCGGCCCCGCCCCTCGCTTCTCCGGGGCTGGCCGGGCCGGGTCGGGTCGGCCCCCGCCCCGCCGCCCTCCCAAGCTAGGCTGCGGCGCCGGGAGCCGCGGATCCCTCCGCCTGCCGGGAAGGAGGGAGGAAGGGACGGAGCGAGGCAAAGTAGGGAGGCGAGACCCAGAGGCCTTTAAAAGGATCTGTCCGCTCCCACGGTGCCCCTCGGAGCACGCCGGCCGCCCGCCCGCCCGCCCGCCCGCCTGGCGCTGCTGCCACCAGGCGCTCCAGGAGAGCCTTTCCGGGGAGGCCGTGCGAGGTGCACGCACACTCTCAACACGCGACACCTCGGCACCTCCTCGCGGCCCCGCGCCCCAGGAGAGTTGGGAGGTGGGAGTCTAAGTAGATAAATTAGGGGGAGACTGGAAGTGGTGAAAAGCTCCCATCTCCCCCACTTGGTGTGTGACAAAGCCCCACTTAAGGGCGACGTTCTTGGGGGGTTACCTAGGGAGCTCAGTTGCTCCCTCTACCTGTGACAGGCCCCCTCCCGTGCCAGGGCCCGGCTCGGCAGACGCCCAGCAATTTAAAGCGACAGCTCATAGTTCTTGGGTGACCTAATCTCCAGTGCTTGCGGGGCCCCACAGCACTTACTGCCGAGGGGGCAATTTAAAGGGGCGGGACCCTAATTCCTCCCCCACCTTCCACCTCACTGGAAACACCCAGAAATGTCTTATTAAAGAAGCAGTAGTAGCTCTTTAAATTTTTTTTATTTTTAAATTCCTGGCTGCTCCAGGGTGTGGTGAATCTTTACGTGCCCTACAACAGGAGTGTGGGTGCCATGCCTACTGGACAACAGACCCGTCAGGCTTCCCTCCACCATCCATGTCACTTCCAAGTCCTGCTGCTTTCTCAGGAGCGTAAAGAAATGATAGCATCTGGCTTAAATCTCAAAAGAACCTTGCAGAACAGAAGGGCACTCAGTTCTTCACACACCCTGATTTCTTTTTTCTTTTTTATTTTTTTGGAGACAGAGTCTCACCCTGCTCACTGTCGCCAGGCTGGAGTGCAGTCGCGCGATCTCGGCTCACTGCAACTTCCGCCTCCCGGATTCAAGCGATTCTCCTGCCTCAGCCTCTGGAGTAGCTGGGACTACAGGGGCACGCCGCCACGCCCGGCTAATTTTTTTTGTATTTTAGTAGAGACGGGGTTTCACTGTGTGCCCAGGCTGATCTCGAACTCCTGAGCTCAGGCAATCTGCCCACTTCAGCCTCCCAAACTGCTAGGATTACAGGCGTGAGCCACCGCGCCCGGACACACCCTGATTTCTGTCTGGCTGGGTCTGATTTACCGGACAAAGAAAGACCCAATTCTGAGTTAGTGCTGGAGACTCCAATATATAGAGAAAGGCAACGTGTCGTGGTGATTAGAAAGGTCAACTTTACAGTCGAGCTCTCGTGGTTCAGATCCTCACTCCACCATTCATTAACTGTGAACACAGGCACATTATTTAACTTTCCCCTACCTCATGGTCCTCATGGGTAGACTAGAGATAGTGATAATAGCAGCTAACTCAGAAATTTAGTGTGAAGATTAAATTAGTTCTTCTAAGAAGATTGCTTAGTACAGTGTCCCATGCTGTATAAAAAACTCAGACCAGACCGTTGGGCCAAGGGCTGGTCTGTAAATAACCCTCTAGGCCCCCATTAGTCCATGCAAGCCTCAAAGGAGGTGAGTTCAGTGGAATTGTTCTGCAGATAGATTGGAGACTTATCTTGTGTGTCCTAAGACAGGAAGCCAGCAGGCTCCTATTTCCTTGGCCTCAGTTTCCAACCCTTCTACCTGACCCCCCCTTTCAGGAAACAGTGTCCCACTTTGTCCCCAAATATAGCTTCTCAGTTCCTCATTGGATCTGGAAGGCTAGGCCCCCAACACCAGAAGATGTGAATTACCCCCGCCAGGTAGGGCTAGCTTGCCCAAAGACTTCAGGGTAGGCAGGGGGAGCCCATCTGCCTCTTCCCCCAAGGACGGAGAAGAACAGAGCCTTGTGCCAGGCTTGAGGCTGTGGCAGTAGCAGGATGGGAAAGTGCCAACCCCCCTCAAGTGGGGAACCTCCCCTCACTTGTGGCCTCTATTTTTAGTGCTTCCCTAGGCTCTAGCTGGAGAAACCGTTTAGTCATCAGGGTGTTTATTTTCCGGCTGTTTCCGACGTCGGGAAAGCAGAATGTTGAGACTGAAGAGATCCAAGGCTGCTGGAAGCCTTCTTAGGATCAGGCCTGGGAACTCAGCCTTCAGACCCACTGGGTCCCAGATCATAGAAAAAAAACCAAAACCAAACAAAAAAGAAAGTGGGCAGGGGTCAGCCAAGCCCCCAGGAGACCGAGAGAGCTGGGTTCTCGGCCACCTCCAGTTTCGAGGCTCTCCAAGCCGAAGAACCCTCTGGCTCCATCTCTACTTGAAGGAGTCTCTCCAAAAACTAACCAAACCCAGAACAATTCTTACCCAGGGCCGATTCCCAGAAACCCCCTCCCCAACATCCTTTATATCAGCCTGGTGAGCCTCCCGCCAACCACAGCCGCAGCCAATGTCACGCCTGAGGCAGTCTTGCCAGGGCTATGATTGGCTGATTGATCCTCCAGTCTTGGAATGTTGGGTCCTTAACAAAGGAATGAGGAAAGAAGGTGAGTCACCTGGGGAGAGTTTTAAAGGGCTAGGAGCAGGAGGGAAAAGGGAATGGAAGGAAGAGCTCAGTGGGTGAGATGCAATGTGCTGGACCCCCCAAGATGCTGACATAATTCCCTAGAGAACAGAGTAGGAAAGGCAGACACTGCAAGTGGGATAGAATTTATAATATAGCCAGGCGCGGTGGCTCAAGCCTGTAATCCCAGCACTTTGGGAGGCCGAGGCGGGTGGATCACGAGGTCAAGAGATCGAGACCATCCTGGTCAACATAGTGAAACCCCGTCTCTACTAAAAATACAAAAAATTAGCTGGGCATGGTGGCTCGTGCCTGTAATCCCAGCTACTCAGGAGGCTGAGGCAGGAGAATTGCCTGAACCCAGGAGGCGGAGGTTGCTGTGAGCCGAGATCGCGCCATTGCACTCCAGCCGGGGTAACAAGAGCGAAACCCCGTCTCAAAAAAAAAAAAAAAAAAAAGAATTTATAATATAGAGAAAACTAAATGAGAGAGCAAAAGTAACAAACATAGGGCCTTAATTCCCATGGAGGGGTAAGAAAGGGTCTAGGGCTTAACGTCGCTGGAAGTTAGATCAAAATAAGGACTTCCTGAATGTGACTCATTAAATCTTTTTCTTCTGGCCCCTGGATTTCCCATTCCAGAATCTTCTGGGTGGAAAATACCTGAGCCAACTCAGATGCCTAGATCTCATTTTTCCTCCTCCCACTCTGGCTACCCATCCATCTTTCCTAGAGAAAAGCTACCTAACAGCCCAAAGCTGCCATAAAATCCTCTAGGAATCAAACACTTACATGCTCATTGAAGTCTTTTAAAACTGTGCGTAAACTCCTCTCCACCATATCATCTTCATAAGTTTATATGGCAAAGGGGCATCGCCATCTCCTTCTGTTGGCCCCTTCCCTAGCACCCCTAATCCAACTTAATTTGTAAAAGTCTTCCTCATCCTCATGTCCCAAGGGCCATTTCTCTGCCTGCCTGTCCCATAGCCCTGGGAAGCCATTACTGCTGGTCTAGCCTCTAATCTGTCTGGCAGCTTGGTTGGCCCCCTCTCACCTTCCCCACAGCCATCTGGACAATCTCCAGCCCCCTAGTCCATCCACCTCATCCCTTCCATTGAGCTGATCATTTTCCCCCCAGTTTTTAAGTGATTCCAGCAGTCTCTCCCCACATCTGCCACCGTGTCTTATGAGAGGAAAGGCCATCAGCAGGTGTACAGCAGTTCTGTGTATACACGCTCTGTGTGGACTAGTGTATTATCCTGCACCTGCTTGTACAGTGCACTCTACTCTGTGTATCTGCCTCCTCTGTACACACTCCTCACCAGATCCTGGGCCTCTTGAGGTCAGCAATCTAACTCCACTTTGGGTGAAGGCCTTGCAGGACCTGGCATAGAATGCGCTCAGCAAATGTGTTAACGTGCATCTGTGTTTGTGTGTGCATGTGTGTGTGCAGCTGTGTTCCTGAGTTCAGATTATAAAAACTTTTATTGAACATCTCATTTGTCCATTGATAACTGTGCGAGCCCGAGGATGGGGCTGTGGCCTGGCCTGCACCACCACCCTGCACAAGTCACACTTTAGGTTAGGCCAGAGTTGCCGGGAAAGGCAGAGTCAGGCAGAAGGGTGTCAGGCTGTACAGGCAGGGTTGTGCCCCAAGCTCAGGGCTAGGGTGCCTGGGGCCAGGCCCGGGGCAAAGGGCAGACGGTCCACCTTGGAGCTGAAGGGGGCAGGGAGGGGGTGCCAAAGCCGGGTCCTCGGTCAGTGCATCACCCCCACAGAAGCTCCCTGCCCCCGGCTGGGCAGGATGTGGTGGCAGCTGCAGGAGGGTGGGCAGGATGTGGGGGTGGGGGCAGCTGAAACACAGCCTGACAGTCGTCTCCCCAGCTCCTCCCTTCTTCTCTCTTGCCCCCCCCACATCCGCCCCCTCCCAGTCACGTGCTCCCAGCCGGGGCACCGACGGACTATTTCCCCCTTTCCGCGGAAGGACATAATTGTCATAGCAAACTACAGTCGCCGCTGACTTCAGCTGTACCACGCCTTTTTCTTGTCCCATAGCCCAGGACAGAAAGTTTGCCGAATACACATTTCTTTAAGGCCCTGATTGCTAACCAGGGAGTGGCCCCTTTAAATGCAAATTAACCGCCTTCTCTCTCGCCTCCCCCCCACCCCCAGCCCAACTTCGCTCCTCGTGCCCAGACTCCACCAGCTGCCATTGACGTCACGCGTGCGTCAGCGTCGCCAGCCCAACCAGACGGCACGTGGGGGGAAGAAGGTAGACTTAAAGGGACAGACGCTCGCGGCCTGCCAGATTTTGGCTGTGAGACTTGGCCTGGGGGGAATGAAATGGGATGTGGGGAAATGTCTTAGAGCATAAAGAAATGCAGGATAGAGCCGGGCGCAGTGACTCACGCCTGTAATCCCAGCACATTAGGAGGCCGACGTGGGAGGATCGCCAGGTCAGGAGTTCGAGACCAGCCTGGCCAATATGGTGAAACCCATCTCTACTAAAAATACGAAAATTAGCTGGATGTGGTGGCGCGCGCCGGTAGTCCTAGCTACTCGGGAGGCCGAAGCAGAAGAATCCCTTGAAGCCAAAAGGCAGAGGTTGCAGTGAGCGGGGATCGCGCCACTGCACTCCAGCCTGGGCGACAAAGCAAGACTCCGTCTCAAAAAAAAAAAAGAAAAAGAAAAAGAAAAAGAAAGAAATGAAGGGTAGACCTTAAGAAGGACTTCCCAGAGTGGGTGGATGTATTTGCTTATGGGAGAGAAACCCAGGAGCAGGAGGAGCAGAACCACTATGAAGGTGGAGGCTTGGCATTTAAGACTCACCCAGTTATAATTTCAGCCTTTCCCTTATCCCTGCCCGGCATGTCCATAAGCACAAAGACTTTGCTCACTTCTGTGTCGCTACGCAGTACCACATTGTACCACGTGCTGTGAATGCAGCACCTAGTAGGGACTCAATTTAAGTACCGTCCTCCCTCCGTACCTGGCGGGGACTGGTTCCAGGACATCTCCCATAGCAAAATCTGCCGAATCTGTGATACAATGTAACATTTACATGTGACCTCTGCACCACCTCTGATACACTTTAAATCATCTCTAGATAACTTATAATATCAATACAATGTAAATGCCACGAAAATAGTTGTTATACTGTATTGTTTAAGGAGTAATGACAAGGAAAAAAGTCTGTTCATGTTCAGTAGTACAGATGCAGTTTTTTTCCTGAATATTCACCATCCAAGGTTGATTGAATCCATGGATGCACAGTATTTGTAGAATGAATGAACTGATCCATTGAGTCCAGTGCAAAGCCACCTCCTTTAGGAGATTTTCCTTGATTGCTGCATCCAGCATGCATAGCACAAGCAAGCTCAGCTAAAGACAATCGCACTGTCTTTTTGCACACTCACAGCAATTAATAAACCTGTAGCTTCCTTCCATGCATTAGAGACCATGAAAGCAGTGGTTAAGAGCACAGAACTAGGAATAATATCAACTTGGATTCCAATCCATTAATACTGTTTACTAGTTGAGCAACCTTAAACAAGTCTCTTCATCTTAGTTGTAATAACTGTCCTATGGGGTCAATGCTACTTAGATCTAGACTTGCTGTTTAAATTAAATGCAACCATTTCTGTGAAGTTCTAGTATGGCACCTGTTGCATAGTAAGCGTTCAGTAATTGTGGGGAGTAGGTTTGCCATGGCCCTCTCCCCCACTAAATTGTGAGCTTCTTGAGAACAAGGACCTTGCCATCTTGATTTATTCCCCAGCATCAAGCTGGGGGATAAAGGCTTATAATTGATGCTTTAAAAATGTTTTTGGGGGCTGGGTGTGGTGGTTCACACCTGTAACCCCAGCACTTTGGGAGGCTGAGGTGGGTATATCACAAAGTCAGGAGTTCAAGACCAGCCTGGCCAAGATAGTGAAACCCTGTCATTACTAAAAACACAAAAATTAGCCAGGTGTGGTGGCGGGCACCTGTAATTCCAGCTACTTGGGAGACTGAGGTAGATAATTGCTTGAACCTGGGAGGTGGAGGTTTCAGTAAGCCGAGATTGCACCACTGCACTCCAGCCTGAGTGACAGAGCAAAAAAAAAAAAGTTTTTGGGCCAGGCGCAGTGGCTCACACTTGTAATCCCAACACTTTGGGAAGCCAAGATGTGAGGATCACTTGAGGCCAGGAGTTCAAGACCAGCTTGGTCAACATAGTGAAACTTGGTCTCTATTAAAAAAAAGAAAGTTCAGCCGGGCGCGGTGGCTCACGCCTGTAATCCTAGCACTTTGGGAGGCCGAGGTGGGTGGATCACGAGGTCAAGAGATCGAGACCATCCTGGTCAACAAGGTGAAACCTCGTCTCTACTTAAAATACAAAAAATTAGCTGGGCATGGTGGCGCGTGCCTGTAATCCCAGTTGCTCAGGAGGCTGAGGCAGGAGAATTGCCTGAACCCAGGAGGCGGAGGTTGCGGTGAGCCGAGATCGCACCATTGCACTCCAGCCTGGGTAACA